CCACCATATGATTATGAGAGACACCGTAGTGGAGGGCTCTAGAAATTTCGACCACCTGGGGTTGTTAAACGTGCACCGAAATCTGAGCACACGGGCATACAACATTTCCGCCTCCATCGGAAATGCAGCCACCGCAACCGGGATTCGATCCCACTTATCTTTGCCTTGCTAATTACTTATCTTTGCCTTGCTAATTGCGCCCGAGATAATTGCACTTTTCGATGCCTTTTAATGAAGACAAGATAGCTTACTGTAATTGTCATTAAGCCACAGTGAATTAATCCAATCAAATTTGAGACAGAGCTGACGCGGTATTCCCTTCGAAGCCGATCAGGCACATGATTACACAACCAACATAAAAAGTTGCAAGAAGCTAGGTTAGTGTAAGCTCTCCAAATTATCTTATTTGCAAAGAAGCTGCCACTTGGCGCTCACTGCTTCAAACGCTTGACTGTCACAACGCCACCATCACAGTCACGAGTTGAACTAGGGAAAAATCAACGCGTTCGTATCCGAGTTCACGCGTCAATCAGTTTGATTGACAGATGCCCGCTACGAAGATCGGGTACGCCCACCACGTTTGCCCACGCCGACGAGCAGTACTCACGTCGAGCGGCACAATTAATCGTTGAGCTATATCGCGTAGACAATGTACACACGCACGCAGAATTACAAGTGATATCACCACGCGGCTGCAATGATACGCATTCCATTTCCTCACGCTGACGGCGTTGAAAATCACCGCCACGTTGCCGCCATGATCTAAGCGCCCCTGGTGGCCCCCTGTCCTTATACTTATCTGTACTATTTCTCAGGAGCAAAACGACCAGCATAAGAGTGCTGTGTGGGCGCCCTCGCTGCTTTCGAGAGTGGAAATTTCCACGCGGCAGATGGAAAGAAAGAACCTGTCCGTAAGAGGACAAACGCCCACGAACACGCCTGTGGGAGGCGCGTGTTGAGTGAAACAAAAAAGATAGCGCGGCAATCAAGCTGATGTCACCTCAATGTTAAAATGATGACTGAGTGGCGACGCTGACGTGTTCGCTAATGGTGTTCCTTTGATGACCACCGCCAATGTCCAACATGCGTTTCCAAGACCACGCGCGTTCTTGTTGCCACTTTTAATAACGCTGCTATCGCGCGCTCCGCACTGTCCTCATGCCATGGCCACTGCAGAGCGAGCTCAGAGCGAACTCGTCTGCCCGAGAAGCTCAGGCCAGCCTGCATCGCACCCTTGCTCTTTCGATTGATTGAACTGTAATGTTGCCTTAATTCTATTAGCTATTATTTTTATGGATAGTTTGTAGAGAACGGACAGCAAGCTGATTGGCCTGTAATTTTTCAAGTCCTTGACGGCTCCTTTCATGCGGATTCAAATGATGTTGGCGTTCTTCCAATATTCTGGTACCCTTGCCGTCAAGAGACACTTCGTATATAAGGTGGCCAGTTTTTCTCACAAAATTTCTCCGCCATCTTTCTGCAGGTTCGTTTTTACCTCATTCTCACCAGCGGCTTTGCGTCTTTGCATTCATTCTAGAGCTTTCTTTACTTTCCCTGTCGTTACTAATACGATGTCAAATTCCTCTGGGCGAATATTGCTTCCTACGATATCATCCTGGCTGTTTAGGCTTCTGTACAGCTTTCTGTAGGACTTCTCCACCAACTCAACTATTCAATCTATATTGATTATGGCATTGCCTTCCTTGCCCCTGAATACGCATATTTAATTTTTGCCTAGGCACAAGTATGCCTTCACAGCTTTTAGGCTTCTGCCGCTTTTCACAGCCTGCTCAATTCTCTCCATGGTATACCTTCTGATGTCGGCTACCTTGCGCCTAATAATTAACTTCGAAATCTCCTTAAGCTTGTCGGTTTCATTTGAGGCTTTCATAGTTTGTCATCTGTTAATGATATGTTTCGTCTCCAGAGATAATTTTCCAGTGCCCTGTCCAGTGACTGTACCTCTGGCTTTCATTACACACTCTTTCATCATAGTCGTAAGATTATCGTTCATTGTGCCACCAACCCTATCGGAAAAAAACGAATGGTGGGCATGGTGGAAACCACCACCCACCATTATAGTGGATTAATGTAGTGGGTGAATGGTGGGAAACACCCACCATGGCGCATGGTGGGTATGGTGGGTGCTGCAGTGCCGGCAACACTTGAGCGCAAAATGACGTCAGAATCACCGTGACGAGCTGCCACAAAAAATAAAAAAGAATTCTATAAAAACGGTATGAAAAAACACCCGTCCCGTAAAAAAAAAAACAAGGCGCCACGGAGGATCGAACGTGCAACCTGCGGATTCCCGTTCGAAGACGCTAACCACTGCGCCACACCAACATGACGGTGGTTGCGTGTTAAATACTTAGTTGCCGTACAAACTTAAGGTTCAACTTAAGTTTACTTGTCGTGTACACAACATAGACAAGATCTACACCTGCTACTAAAAATTGCACATTTATTAAACACAAGCAACTGCGCCCTGTAACGATTGCCACTATGTTATTGGCACTAGTGCTATTTTTTTTACAATTCACAACTTGAAGGAAAAAAAAACCAAGTGGACTGGGGAGCAGCAACAGTTTACCGGCGGGGTCTGCCAAGTTTAATATCCGTTTCGCGCTCGTTCTAAAGGGCGACATCTGCTCACGCTTTATGACGCTTCTAGGCTCATTTCATAGATACGCCCGCCTAATTTATTTGAGTGAGTATTGGGATGCTTTTCGCGCAATGTAGAGGGCGGTCGCGCCAGCGCAATGCTGTTGCTCTTTCGCTTAAGCAACAACTACATAACGGCTTGGCCAAAACGAATGCAGTGTACCGGAAACATTACGCTATCCTAATGGTTCACCAAGCACACGAATTGCCACGTCTGAGTTGTCGTACAAAAGCTAGAGAAGTGCCGGCGAGTGTGACCGGCGGCTGTCGGTGAGAAGACACTAAATTACGTTCTCTGGGAGTGCTTTAATCGCGTCGCATCGATGTTTGTTGCTTCTTGAGCGAACAGCATACACAATGAAAAATGCTTCATTTAGGTTAATTGATGCCATATGGCTGCGCTGTATTGTCATACTTAATCGTCGTAATCGTGTATTCTGAAACCCGGAAGCACGGATAACACAATTGTACGGGCTCGGTCAGTAGGCCTAACCTTTGGTGGAAATCATGATGGTAGAACATGTAGTGTACAGATCCCAGCTTGGTACACTATATAATTTGCCCGCCATTATAAGCCCACCCATCATCTACTTACTGCTTCCCAGCATTATCGCGATGGTGGGCAGAGCTTCTCAGCTTGGTACACCATGTGGCCCACCATAACAAGCAGCACCCATCATCTGTTTGTGCTTCCCAGCATTATCGCAATGGTGGGAAGAGTTTCTCAGCTTGGTACACCATGTAGCCCACCATAATAAGCACCACCCACCATATGCTTAGGGCTTCCCAGCATTATCGCAATGGTGGGCAGAGTGTCCCATTATTGCCCACTATCTAGCCTCTGCTTTCCACCATCATTTCCACTTTACCCATCATCTGTACACCATACCACCCAGTATGTCCCGGCATAACTACCATATTTTCCACTACGTCCCACCATAGCCATCATAATTTCCACCATGCCCACTATTATTTCCACTACGCCCACCATGTTTTCCAGTATCCACCATGGCAATTTTTCCAATAGGGAATAACGTCCGTTATCTCGTTTAGAGGCTCAAGTCTATTAAGAAGCAAAAAACTGAATTCTTGTACTTTCTCTCTCAGCGCTAGCTTATCATTATATGGCTTCTTACGTATCGGTTTATGCGTTTCCTTTTTTTTAATCTAAGTAAATACGAGCTCTTACCGTTCTATAGTCACAGGATGGGATCTTGCCAACTACTTCTACATCCCGTATAATGCCTGAGTGTGCACACAAAATGAAGTCTATATCATTTTCGTTTTGCCATTAGGACTTTGCCACGTCCACTTGCGGTTAGCCCGTTTTTTAAAAAAGGTATTCAAGATTCGTAAATTATTACGTTCTTCGAACTGTACTAATAACTTCCCTTGGGTGTTTCTCGAGCCGATGCCATATTACATTACTGCATGGTTTCCTTCCTATTTCTTGCCTACTTTGGCATTATAGTCACCCATCAGAATGATATACTCTGTCTTTACTTTATTGATGGCTTACTTTACGTGTTCATAGAAGCGTTCAACCAAATGATCACCGTGGCTTGATGTAGGCGTGTAGGCTTGTACCACCTTCATCTTGTAGCTTTTTTAAACTTATGTATGATACTTGCCACCCCCTACATGATGCTCCCGTAATCTTCTATGTTGCCAGCGATATTTTTGTGTATGAGAAAACCCACTCCTAGCTTTTTTTCTGTCAACTAATTTACGGTAGCCTAGAACGTGTCCGCTCTTCAGCTCCGTATAATCGTAACTTGTCCTCCTAATTTCGCTGAGCCCCGTTTACTTCCTCTAAATCTCTGAATAGCATAGTTAGAACAGCCTTGCCAGATAGCATTCTAGCGTTGAACCTAGCCAAAGGCATATTCCAATGGCGGTCTGTCTGAACCCAGAGATTCTTCACTGCGTCTAAGGTCCGACCACCTCCTTGGACAGTTGCTTCGCAGTCGTCTGGGACTGAGGGCCAAGAACTGATTGGTACTTTCATAAGGGCGGCAAACAATCACCCTAAAATTGATACTAAACAACTTAATTATTTTTTTGTAAATTATTCTTCCTGAGAGATGTAATCAGTGGCAAAATCTTTCCGCCTAGGCTAGAAAGTGCTTGCAAAGACGGCGAGTGCCTACATACTACATTGTTTATGGAAAAAACTGTGTTGCTTAAAAAACACCCTACAAATATAGTGTCCTGTATCTAAAAGTGCATCATTGGCTTGGTTTACAGTAGTTTGCTGCAATCGTACATTGATGCAAGTAGTACAAAATATTCCGTACGAGACTGAAGTCAGCTCCTTGAAATACGGTCACACCTACTCTCCGTGTCCCAGCTGTAGAGCAAGCAGCTTGACCATAACCTGCTGATGGACCAGGGCCTCGTTCTTGTCGCACAACTGCAAGCAGAAAAGACTTGGTTCAAAATATGGAAGCAACCCACTTTCAGCTACAGTCAGAGAGGAGGACCCACCTGCAAAGCGGCAACTCATCACCTTCAAGAACGTCTTCAAGATGACGTCCATGAAAGACAATCTGTCTAATTCAAGACTTACATTCAAGGCACGATCAACGAAGCTGTGCTATAAGCCACAATTTCGAAGACTGAAAATGACGACGCCTGCTTCTCATTCTTTTTGCTCACGCAGCTTGGGCACCATGTTGCTAAAAGCCTAAACGAATAGCGTTGCACATTAAGACTGTTATAAAACCAAGCGTCTAATAAATTGCAATTCGTGACAATAAATGCATAACCATATCAAATCTGTGAAAATAAGTGTGAGTAATTGCTGCAAAGAGCGTGCGCAGATCGGGTTAAGATTTGCGTCCTCATGATTCAATACGTTAGAAGTTGTGTGTATGTTTCCACACGATGGTGTCCTCTTTTTCTGCCTTGTTCCAATTATTAGTATGCTCATTATGCTCATCATGTCGTATATACTACCTGTATCTTTTCCTGTTTGTTTCCCCCCTACAATAATGCCCAGTTAGGCGCTGTAGATATCTGAATAAATAAATAAATAAATAAAAAATCATGACGGTGCATATTGCTAATTCACTGAAAGCCACAAAAAATATCCCTTGGATTTTATTATGATTTTGCACACGTAATTAAATACAATAGACAAGAAAACGTGCAAATATTCAGAGTTTCCTAACTGTTAGGAGCTTGGTCGGGAAACTTCTAGTGCTCGCGCCTTGTCCTACAGCGGCGGCCGGCGTGTATGCCAGTGTTGACAGTGTATCCTTCTCTGATCGCCGCTCAAGGTGGCTGCTCCGGTCACCTCTCTGGTGATATCAACTATGCTCACTAGATGGCGCGCCGCCAACCAAGGCGTCCAAAAACCAAGGTTGTGCCGCTTGCTGGCCACATAGATCTCAAGCTGGGCAGTGAGAACATCGCCATGGAGACGGTAGCTCGTGACTGAGCCTGTGACTGCAACTCGTGGATGCGTAGCAGGGTGGCTCAAAAGTTACCGCAATGTGTGACGCCAAGCACGTTGTCGTCGCCGACGTAGGGTAATGGGTGGTAGACACATATGAGGTATGAGCGTCGTCGCGGTTGTGACACACGAGCTGGCCTTGTGGACACACGTCTGGTTGTTGCCGTCCGGAGGCAAAGGCTCCGGGGAATGGTGGTGGTGGAACCCAGTCAGCGTGGGCTCGCCCGGAGTATTGGACGGGACACCTGAGCTCGTGTAATGACCTCCGGTAGTCCGCACACGATGGTTGGCGTGCAGGTTTGCATAATTGATGGCTTCCTCTAGCCAACACTCCCTAGATTGCTCCACCGCAGGCGTGGTATGCCTGGTGAGCCCTGTCTGAAGCGGACCGGGCACGTCGTCCTCAAGCGCGTCAGTCGTAGTCGCAGCGTCTTGGAAGCTTGACCGTGGTCAACCATGGTCAAACTTCCAAGGCTGGTGGCTTTAACTTCAGCTGCGGGAAACTGCGAGGACGATGGTGGTCGTTGATGGCAGGACGTGCAGAGCATTGAGGCTGGTCGACAGTCACCTTCGGACATCGGGGAGGGTGAAGGTTTCGCAACCGGGAGGTGAATAGCGGGCGTGACAATGCCCATAGTCGTGGTAGCCACCAGGGCGTTCGGTGATGTTGCCGTCGTAGAACCTGACGTGTCAGCCGTGTTGTGAGCCATGGAGGTCGGCCGAGACGAGCCGGTGGTAAGCATGCCTGCAGGGTCGTCGGTCGAGGATGATGAAAACACAAACCTCGTGGCTGACTGGTTGCATTCAGCCCAAATGTCGAGAACCTTGGCGGATGGGCAGTCGGGCGCAGGACACGCGTCGCTAGTGGCCAGACGAGAGGTTAAGTCTCGTTTATCGGACGTTGTTGAAGGTGAAAGCTTCGAGGTCGGGAAGTCAATAACGGGTGAAAGGTCACCTGTGTCAGACTCCGATGCGGGCGGCAAGGTGGTCGTCATGGAGTCTGGTGGGGCCCCGGTGTCGCCTGCTGTTGCTTTCGTGGAGAACGTGCAGGTAGCAAGCGTGCCAGAAGGACCATCGGCCGAGGACTTCGAAAAAACGCACTTCATGGTAAACAGGTTGTCGGCAGCAGGAACGACTTCAAGAACCTCGTCGGATCTGTGACCGGGTGCGAGAATTACTGCGCTAGTGGCCGGACCAAAGGTGGAGGGAGACGTTGTCGGGGAAGTTAGGTTGGGGTAAGATGAGAGCTTCGGGCCGGAGGGTCCAGCACGCTGCGACGCAGGGGAAACCTGAAAGTCGCGGGTCCCCGGAGGTGGTCGGTACGTGAGGCCATAGCTGGCAAGCACCGCAGAGCAGAGGTCATCGTAAGGCTGCTGGCTGGAGGTTGAAGTGGCAGAGAGATGACGCAACTCTACCGGAAAGGCGTCATGAAGAATGGCGTGCATCAGCGGCTGGTCCGTGACGCCATTCAACGCAAGAACGGCATCGAGCTGCATGAGTCGACCTTGGGGTAGGTCGACTGGAACGGCGGCACTGGTGGGCAGAGTTGCGGGAACATGGCAGCAGGCCGCTCGGTGAAGGGCGTGTTCACCGGGTCACCAATGTAGCGAGAGAGGAAGACGGGACGGCGGCCAACGTGGTCGAGTCGTTCTCTCACCACTTTATTCCGTGCCTGAAACGGAGCCGCGTGGCTTTCCACGTCCGACACACCAAGTGCGCTAGCTCGTTCTAATACTCACGCTGCTCGAGCTAGCATCAGCTGCGCGAGAGGTGCGGCGCGGTGAGAAATGATGATGGTGATGGTGGCACTAGAAGACTACACATAAGTACCTGGGCGTGCTACTCTGCTCTAAGGCCTGCATATATAATCAACAGGAAGCCCATATCCGCCAAGCCTCACCGCGTGCTCAGTGCATTTTTCGGCACCGCATCTTCTGGGAGTGCAACCGCTTCATCATGGTGCGGGACATATGGAAACTGGTGCACGTTCCCTGCCTGACATTTGAAACGCAGTTGTCTGCTTGACAGTGCCCACCAGGGATTGGCTGGAGCGGTGGCAACGAGAAGTTGGCCGCATGGCGCTTGCGTGCCATAGAAGAGTGGCGAACGAGGCAGTACAGGGGGACCTCGGCTGGTATGGTTTTGAAGCACGCGAGGCCTCCAGCAAGTTAGTGTACAGTAGTCGCCTTCAATTAATGTGCAGAGAGCGGTGGGCAAAGCGGCTATTCGAATACTTTGCGGCAACGTGTATGCGAACAACTTGGGTGAACCGGGTGTACCGACTAGAAAAGAAGTACGTCTCATTCACAGAGCCGGTACAGGCGGAAACTCCAAAACGGGTACGCGACAGCGAGGAGGAGCTATGACAACACGTAATGAGTGGAAAAGCTACCCTCGAACTTTACCGCAACGGTAAAAGCACAATAGTCTCAGCTCGCATTTACGATAACAGCACCGGGAGTTCGCTTCTGTTCGAGGCACGAGCTGGTGCGCTTCCAACCCTAACGTACAAGAGACCTGGTTTACCAGGTTTACCTCCGGAGCCTCGCCTACTCATCATCATTCACTTTGTGAATATGGCGGCACTTTTTTATGCTTGCTATGTCTTCTTGTTTTTCATTCCGTTCAATATCAAGCTCATCGGGTCCGTTTTTTCTGATTGTCACTGCCGTGTACTTTTTATCAGTCGAGAATCGGTGCATTCGCTAGGCCTACTCGCTTCGCTAAGCCGGGGTCAGCCATCTTGATTCTGATTGGGAGAAACAGTTTCTCTGTGGTAAAAAGGTGCAAAGTTCCTCTATTTAAAAACGAACATGGGGGACATCACCGTTTTACACCAAATGGAGATACCATCACTCCATGTTTTTAACATTAAGCACAGTTTTTTACACAAACAATTTATTTTGATGCACGTCAGGTGTTCATGCACTAAATAATAGCTTTATTTTTTGCTTTTCCTTTTCGTCCTATATTTGGTTCATGCGTTTAAAAAAATCCGACCCGAGTGAGGCATTAAACACATACTTTGCCTTATGCAAAAACAATTCGGGTTCTGTTTGCTGCCTCGTCAGAATAAACTAAAATGCGCTTTCTTTCGGGGCAAGCCCTTGACGTCCCCTCATGAAAGGCCTAGGCGCGGCCACCTAAACCAGCTGGTTTTTTATAATAAAGTTTATTGCTCCTCCTCCTACTCCTCCTCCTCTTCCTCCTCGGGCTTTGTCTCTTGGCCACAGTGACGGGAGAATCGCTGACGCACTGCAGGAGTTCGCCAAAGGTTCAAAGAGGTTTAAGCGTACAAGTCATTCTCCAGTAGATCTTATTACTTTTTTGAAATTAATTTTTAGCTCAAATGCACTGCTTCAGTGTATTACACTACGGTTTATTTACTATTCCACTATTTATTTTCTGTCTTGTCTCATCTTTCTTTTTTTTTCGTAAATAGATCAATCTTAACCTGTTATTAAAGAAGTGTTTCATAAAAACTATCCGGTTCAATCCCCCAACATGGGTGTGCACCACAATGTCAATGAACTTGACTTGACTTGACTTGATATCTCGCCACATTCTTGGTCAAAGCTGCAGTATGCTTTGTGCAGCCAATTTGTTGCGTGTCATTTTCCCCCTTCAGCGTTTCCTTCACAGATTGAGCCTCAAGACGCGATGTGCTCTAGGAACAAATGATTTTGTTTTCAAGGCTCAGAATGAGGCTACAAAGGGAATTCCACTGATAAAAAAATCCGCCGAGACACCACTACTTGCTTGTCTGAGGTGAGAGCTTTCTTAGCACCTTTATAGATAAGCAGTATTTCTTGCGATTCCGAAAAACGGTAGCTAAATACGTTATAATGGTGTCACACGGGCACATTTAATCGCAGTCAGTGTCGATCCGGATTAACCACGATCCGGATTAGGTGCTGCTACACGGTCACTTTTAATCACGATCAGGCGTGATCGGG